ATTTCAGTTGGTGTGCAATGAATCTGAAATATATGAAAGTTTCATTTGTATCATTACATTATGGAAAATTATGACCTTTATCACTATATGCTAATTTTTTTTAGAAGGACCTGTACATTTAACAGTAACAGTGAGTAAAGATAGGATAAATAGTTACATTTCACAAGGCTGAAATTTAACTTCAACTTTTTAATCTATTGAAGCAAAATACTGGTAATGCTCTTGTTTTCCACCACACATTCATGCAGTTATTTTATCTGCAATCTTCCCCTAAGTTTCATCTGAGCAGTGCCCACAACCATGGCAGGCTGAGTGCCAGCAAGCACAGAGAAGTAACTATACTTCAGGATGGGATGACTGTCACTTTGGTAACTATTGTGCAAAGTCAACCCCAATACTTGACAACTGCATGAGCCAGTACTCCTGGGTGAATCTTTTTATAGCATCCTTCCCCACTTTTGCTCAGGTTACCTAAGACTGGCCTCTCAAGAGTTTGCCTTTTACCATGCCTACACTGGTGGTTGGCGAAGCAGATGTGGTATATCTTGATCTCCACCTGCATGTTATGCCTTCTACTTGTTGGCACACATTCATAGTAAATAGAGCTGGACACTTGAGCACAATCAATGTGCACTTGCTTTATAATAGTTATTAGTTCAAAGTAGCTCAAATCTGACTAACACTTTAGTCAGCGCTTGCAAATGCTTTTGATGCATAGAAATGGTTGGTACCTTACAGACTGCACTGCATCGCTTGTGTGGCTGATTAATCGTTTTTGGGGTCTGTGAAAAAATTATAACAAACCTGTTTATCCAAGTTTGTTGTCTGAGCTGTGTGGTTGCAGTTGGAATTAACTTTTGCACTGCTCCACTGACTCCAGGTTTCTCTCACCATCGAACATAATTTTTGTTCTATGTGCTCTGAAACGTTGTCTGTGCTGTTGATTATGCTGAGGGCTTTGTTCATGTTGGCTTTTGTGATGTCAATTGCCTGTTCAAGGGAATTTCTTTGATCACTTCTGTTAATTTTCTCTGCAAAACAAACCTGTACAGTGAGCGGTCCAGATAATTGACGGTGGTTGTCTAACATTTTCAGATGGCTGATAAAAAAAGATGTTTAGATGCAGCCTGTTTTTAATTTATGCCCAAGTTTACTGGTTGTTAATCTGAAGTCCTGCATTTTACAAAGTTAATTAATACTAAAACACAAGTCGTTTTTAAATGTTGTTTTTTGTATCTCATGTTGTAAGCAATGAAGATTAACCCCTCAAAGTCCTGAACTTGGCATTAATTTTTATTTGCATTTACTTTTTTCTTCTCTCTATTGAATGAAGGGCATTCATCTTAGTTTCTTTAAATGTAACTTCCAAACTGCACTCAAACTAAAGATGCACCGATCCACTTTTTCCACTACCGATACCAATATCTGCGGGTGGGTTTTTTTTTTTTTTTTTTTTTTTTTTTTTTTTTTTTTTTTTTGGTCGACCGACCGATACCGATCTGATACAGGGAAAACCGCTGAATTTTGTTCATCAAACTCTCAACGTGTTCTTTAGGGTGAAATCTCTGGAGATGTTTAAGTTGGTAGTGTTATAACTAAAAGTTTTAGTGACACCCCCTGGAACTGTCGCTGTGCACGTAGCTGTCGAATGTGTTGGCTGAGGTAGTGTGAAATGGTTCCAGATGGCTGATCCTTTCGCTCGCTCCATTTTGAAAACAATCTGTGCAGTGGAGTTTGTGACATCACTCAGAGCACAAAGCATAGAGTTAGACTGAATAGATCTGCCCGGTCATGAATTGATCACATTGTCTGTCACAAACCCGATCCAGAAGTTTTTTCAATATCGGGACCAATATTGGTATCGGCTTGGTGCATCTTTAACTCAAACGTACAGCTTGTACTTTTTTTGAGTTTACTTCAAGAATTTACATTTACCTGTAGTTGAATTTGACCCAAGCATTTGGGTCAAATTATCCCAGACAAGAACTTTTCTGCTTGTTGTGCCATGTTTACTGAGATGTCAGATACTAGTTTGAGGTTTTTTGAGTAATACCAATATATGGATTAGATATCCTAAACTGATAGAAAATTATAATTTATAAATAAAGCAAAAAAAAAAGTAACATACAAGTCGTAAACATCACTTGTCTAGAACAATTATAAAATGAAGTTTAAGTGTTTCTCCTTCTGGACACTCAAATTCTCCTGGAGTCTTTTTGTCATTTAATTTTGGTCTTTTTTTATTTATGTATTTTTTTTTTTTTAATGGTTTGAGTAGTGTAAATGTTATGCTGATTAAAGCACATTCAGTTTAGTCTAGTAAGTTTTGTAAGTCTAAGTTTAATCTGGTCCTCTGGGCATTCAAAAAAACAAAGCGAAACAATTTAGATACGTTTCGTCTTTCGGATGAAAGACGAAACGTATCTAAAAAATTTTTTTTTTTTTTTTTTTTAAATGTTCAGAGGACCAGATTGAACTTCTTTAGATTTTTCTACCTGGATTATTGAGCATGCATCAGGATTTTTTGTAAGCTGTGCTTTTACTGCACTGGCCTGATTTTTCCTCAGTCATTAACTATGAGAGAATTATTTTTTTTAAGGTAAATGAAAAACGATGTCGAAATATGCTATTTTAAACTTTAGAATTTTTTTTGTATACATCAGCGTTTTCCCTACCATTATTCAAGCCCCCCCAGTCCTACCAACAGATCTGAGCCCTCCCCTCACAAACCCCACACAGCCTAGTCACTTCCGGACGGGGAGCGGAGATTGTAGCAGCTCAACTCGGAGTCCAAACCGTGCGCAATACAAACATAGCGCTCCGTCAAACTGATGTAGTGCTAAGCTAACCAAACCCCCGCGCGCAGTACAAGCGTAGCTCCGCTTTTCTTCCCAAGAACGCTTGGGAGCGCCTTCCTAAGGCAAATAACCAAGGGGAAACATTGTTTGATTTAAATAAATAAATAAATAAAAAAATCCACCAAATACACATCATTCCCTACTGAAAGTCTGCTGCATTGTTTAATTTTTTGCAAAATCGGCAATTGAGTTTTGTTGCAAACAATTACAATTTTACATGTTCACTTTTAGCACTAGTGGGTGCTAGTAAGAAGCATTGCTCTACGTTTGTGGTGGCAAGTTGTCGACCGAGTGGTGGTAATGGGTTGGATGAGTGGTTGTTGTTTTGAAGAGTAGCAAAGCGCTACATCTGTAATGTGCAAAGATTGTGGTTGTAGACAGACTTGGTACAGACCTTCATAACAAATAGACATTTTTAGTCTGTATAAAAATAGATACCGGTAGATTAGATTTTATTTTTTTTGCATTAATGGTTTTGTTTGTTAAACTGTGATGGGTATCTCTTCCCCTCAGTTCTGTTGTTCTACATACGAGACAACTAGGCTTTGGTGAGCGCTTGCTCCCATCTCTAGTCACGGGGGTCTGACATTCTGTTTTTAAACAGTCCAGCTAAAAACATGCAACTAAACAAACGCTCAGTGGGCAAATACAGTTGTGCGTTTAGTTTATTGGCACTTTTTTCCCTCTCCCTTCTAATGGATTTTCTTTTTTGTCTTTAAAGATTCACCTGGATGGGATAGCGGACGCACCAATGGATATGTGAATGGTTTCCATGACAACCGCCCAAACGGTAGCTTTGGAGGGCGTGGACCTCCTCGCAATGATAGAGGTGGGTGTGGCGCCTACCGTGTTAACAGTGGCGGAGGCTCGTTTAATCAGCCATTGCAAAGTACAGGTGGGGAGATCTGGTTGTCCATAAAATGCTAAACTACCTTAGATGGACAGTGTAGTATATGTAAGCTTCACCCTCCCCCACCTAGTTTTAATTTAGATTTATTTAAACTATTGTACACAGACTTTAAGTCTGTTTAAAAAAAAAAAAAAAAAAGTAATTAGCTATGTAGTTGCATATGAAATGAATGGATTCAACTTCTAATGGCCTTTTACTTAAGAGAAAAGGCAGAAGCTCTGCCCTTGATAAGAAACGGGCATTGTCTGAAGTCTGACAGCTGGTTTGCCAACTAGGTCTCAAGAGTAAATTGACAGACTTTATTATTCATTTATTGCAGGGTTTGGCAATTTTGAAAACAAAGATGGCGGCTGGGGAGGACCTCCTAGAGATGCTGCCTACAACAGCTTTGGAGGGCGTAATGATCGGACCAAGTCTGCCTTTAATGACAGAGGAGCTGGCTCAAGAGGAAGGTATAAAAAAAAAAACCTTATCTATTTCTATCCATCTCTAGGAAGTAAAATATTTTTAGTTTCACTTTTCTAAATTGTGTGCATGTTTACAGGTATGAGCGTGGAGGCTTCGCTGGTGGAGGAAATAGCCGCTGGGTGGAAGACTCCAGAGAAGACGACTGGTCCAAGCCCACTCCACCCAACGAACGTCTGGAACAGTAAGGCGGATTTTATCACAGATTTGAGAAGTAATGTCTACATCAAACTTAAACTTTTATTTAAACCTCTTTCTGTAGTGAACTTTTCTCTGGAAGCAACACTGGGATAAACTTTGAGAAATATGATGATATTCCTGTGGAGGCGACTGGAACAAACAGCCCTCCTCACATTGAAAGTGTGAGTCTCCACTGCTTTTAATTGAACACTTTGGTCTGAGTTTGTACCTTACACACTTGACGTGTTACATTTTTTTTGTAGTTTCATGATGTGGACATGGGTGAGATTATCATGGGGAACATCAATCTGACCCGTTACACTCGTCCTACTCCTGTCCAGAAGCATGCCATTCCCATCATCAAGTCGAAGAGAGACTTGATGGCCTGTGCCCAGACTGGTTGGTATTTTTGGACATTTTCAGTCAATGCAAATAACGAGCTTATTCTCTAGTTTGAAGGCAAAAAAAACTAACTTCTGAAGAAAAAAGTTTGGTCGAGTTCTTTGTTTATAATTGTTTATATAATCCTTGCTGCGTTTCAGGCTCTGGTAAGACGGCTGCCTTCTTGCTGCCAGTGCTGAGTCAAATCTACACAGATGGACCAGGAGATGCTCTGCAGTCCTCAAAGAACAGTGGACAGGTAGCAGAGAAAACCATTATCAGCAGTAAAGAGTTCACTGGTGGATTCTGACTTTTTTTAATAAATGTCTTTGGTTCTTAGGAGAATGGAAGATATGGCCGTCGTAAGCAGTACCCCATCTCTCTTGTCCTGGCTCCAACCAGAGAACTGGCATTGCAGATCTACGACGAGGCAAGGAAGGTGAGTTCAAAGCTAGCAAATCACTCTGACGCCAACACCATTTGCCCACATGTTAAATGATGAAGCCAATTATTCGTTTTTTTGTTTGTTTTTTGTCCAGTTTGCTTATCGCTCTCGTGTGCGTCCCTGCGTGGTCTACGGTGGCGCTGATATTGGTCAGCAGATCAGGGAATTGGAAAGAGGCTGTCACCTGTTGGTGGCCACACCAGGACGTCTGGTTGACATGATGGAGAGGGGCAAGATCGGTCTGGACCACTGCAAGTCAGTAGAACTCATTCATATATTGCTAAAATGTCTGATTCCAGTCAGTTAATGTAAAATTTGTTTGTAGCTACTTAGTCCTGGATGAAGCTGACCGCATGTTGGACATGGGTTTTGAGCCCCAGATCAGAAGAATTGTAGAACAAGATACAATGCCACCAAAGGGAATTCGTCAGACCATGATGTTCAGTGCCACTTTCCCCAAAGAGATTCAGGTGTGTTGATTACATATTAAGGTGTAGTCTTTTTTTGTTGTTGTTGTTGTTGGCGGCTTGCTTAACCTATTGATTTTATTTTTAGATCCTGGCTCGAGACTTCCTGGAGGACTACATATTTTTGGCAGTAGGCCGTGTTGGCTCCACTTCAGAAAATATCACCCAGAAAGTGGTCTGGGTAGAGGAGACCGACAAGAGGTCCTTTCTTCTGGACCTTCTCAATGCCACAGGTAGGAAAAGCACATAAAATTATTTCCCCTCAATTTCTCCTTCTTTTGTCTGTTTCACGCCAAGCTAATATTGACTTTGAGACAACAAAAAAAATCTAAATTATTCAACAAATATACAGTTGTGAGCAGACACTGAAGCCTCAAGCAGATTTAGCTTCATTTTAAAATTTGCTTACTGAGCAGAGTTGTTCACTGGTTGATGTACAGCAGCCCTTTTTGTTTTTATTCTTCTTTTGCGAGCAGTAGGATAAATGCAAGATCCCAGAATGTAACTTGGGTAAATGTGAACAATCCTGTAAAGTCTTGTTAATAAGTCAGTATAACATTCTTGTCTTTCATGATTTCTTACAGGCAAAGACTCTTTGACTCTAGTCTTTGTGGAAACCAAGAAAGGAGCTGATGCTCTGGAAGACTTCCTCTACCGTGAGGGCTACGCCTGCACCAGCATCCATGGAGATCGTTCCCAGAGAGACCGAGAGGAAGCTCTGCATCAGTTCCGCTCTGGGCGCTGCCCAATCTTGGTGGCTACAGCTGTAAGCAATTTTGGAACTTTTTTTTTTTAAATTTATTTATTTATTTTATAAAGAAACAAAAGTCTTGGTGTGGTTGCTTCAGTGTTTTTACCAGGTTTTGTGTCCATCTGTTCAGGTGGCTGCACGTGGTTTGGACATCAGCAATGTGAAGCATGTTATCAACTTTGATTTGCCCAGTGACATTGAAGAATACGTTCACCGTATTGGCCGTACGGGACGTGTGGGCAATCTCGGTAAGGTGCTACCTTTTTCTTACCAACCGTGCTAATCAACATACCGTTTGGTGCCGAGTATATCATGTGTTGTCTACAATGTTTTTCAGGTCTGGCCACGTCGTTCTTCAACGACAAAAACAGCAACATAACCAAAGATTTGTTGGACATCCTGGTTGAGGCCAAGCAGGAGGTTCCTTCCTGGCTTGAGAGCCTGGCTTATGAGCACCAGCACAAGAGCACCGGCCGAGGACGCTCAAAGAGGTACTGGTCACTGAATGCATCACTTTTCTTGTTTCATGGTTGTCACTTGCTTGTACAAGAACTTGTTTGAGTATCTTTGTTCTGAGCAAAGTAAAATCTACACGACCTTACTATTTTCCTTTTGCTTCTTTTTTGAGTCCTTCAAAAGATTTTGAATAATGTTGTACGCCATCAAGTTTGCTTCATTTTTGCAGTGAAAGTGCATGGAGTAATGGCAGATGTATAATAACAAATGCTTTTTTTAAATTAATGGGTGATCCCCACAAAAAGAATCCAAAAATATTGGTGAACTTAACAGAACCCTGTATTACATAACAATGTTTATTGAAGTGTAACGCGAAACTAAATTCCTCCCAAAATACTTAGTTTTGCTAGAATGGTGCAGCAATTGTAAGAAAATGTCTGTTCAACTTTATTAATAGTGATGACTCTTCCAGGTTCTCAGGTGGTTTTGGAGCCAGAGACTACCGTCAGACGCCAGGTGGATCTGGAGGGTTTAACAGTAGCCGTCCAGGACGCAACCCCGGAGGTCATGGAGGGAACCGTGGCTTTGGTGGAGGTAAGAAAGCTACATTTATTCAGTTTTACTTTAAGCTTATAATTGAAGTGAGACTCTTTCCTCTGTGGCTCTACGATTTGATGAAAAGCAATAATTTGGATTTTCATTGTGAAAAGAATTGCAGAGTATTACAATCTAAATATTTCCCCCAGAAACCAGTAAATCAGTAATGCTTTTAGGTTGAATTTTTTTCCCCTGCTATGACAAAAATAATTTTTAAAATTTCACATAGAAGTGTGAGCCGAGTACATTTTAAGCATTTTACATGAGAATTTGTCCTTACAGGTGGTTTTGGTGGCAACTTCTACAGCAATGATGGCTACGGAGGAAATTACAACCACTCTGGTAGTGTGGATTGGTGGGGAAACTAGTCTTCATAGGAACAGGTTGCCATGCCAACCCAGTGGAAACCACATGTTCATGTAAGCCAGACTGTAACAACCCTCCTGTAGCTTCACTGACAGTACATGACCAACCCTGGTTCTCTGCCATTCGCTTCTCATAAAGGAAGTGCAGCACGACGCAAAGGAAGTCACCAGCACGTGCAAAGCACTGGTGCCTGCAGAGATTTGCACACCTCAAAGTGAGCATGGATGCTAACGTGCATTGTCCCACTGCAACCTTGGGCTTTTCATCGTTAAAGTATTTTTGTTCCTAATGTGGGGATTAAAACAAATTGGGGTTGAACCTGTTGATGTACTGTGCCTTTTGAATTTAAACTGGAAATTAGTTTCATTTCACCAGATTAACATGGCCAAGAGCTCTAAATTTGTTTTTACTAGTATTTTGTTTCAAGAAAAAAAATAGCAAGTTGAACTAAGCTTGAACTTATTCAAACCTTGGCAACCACTTGGGTATTGTGGCTCTCGGTCATAATTCCATTTGAAACTCAAATTTATTTCAGAAACATTGTGTGGCTTTTTGTCAAACAGGTAATGGTGTCATTACCATATTTATAAAAATCTGGGCCGCTCTGTGAAGCAAATGTTTTAAGCCTAAGAGACTAAGTTTTTTTTTTTTTTTGTTTATTATTTTTGCTCACTCTATCCTGAACGGGCTCTGTTTATGGATATGGTAGTCTTTAAAAAAAAAAAAAAAGCCATTCCTATTGAAATCTTAAACACAGAAGTCATTAAGCTCAGTGCCAACAATCGCTGAGGTAGAAACAGAAAACTGAATGCTGGAACTCGTTACTCCAACCTTTTCATTGACTTGACAGTGTTATGGCAGCTGGTATGTTACCGAGTGCTAGCTACTTTAAGTGGACGGTGTTTTTTGTTTTTTACTTGAAACAATATTTGTGCAAGCGTTTTAAGATTTAAAAAAACTTAAGTCAGTTATTTTGAATTGTTTATTTACACATGTGTATCAAACGATGCCTGCCATCTTGAAAGTGAAGTTCAAAATGGCTGCCTAATGGACCACAGCATTTGGGGGGGCCTCAGAGGAGTGATGACAGAATTAACCTGCAGCCACGAGGCTCTGATATACGCTTGCAAGTGTTTTGTTTTTTGGTCAAGGAGAAAGGACATGCAAAATGAGTCGCAGGCTTAACTTACAAACATTTTCTCTTTTCAAGCTGCGTTGGAGGCATGGTTCATCTTTAAGACAGGCATTTGAATTATCACTGAGGTTTTCTATAATTAGTAAAGGAAGGGGGCGGGGTACAGCAGCAACCCAACCACGGCAGTGGGTCCAGGTATAAGAGCAGGGCAGGCGTGGGGCCAGGTTTTCAGTGCACCACTGGTGTCGAGTGGCTTTGGGTTCCATTGCTGCATAAACTGTGAAGGTGGCCAAAGATCTTACTTCTGTCAAAGGTCTGTTTTCTTTAAGGAACAGTTCAATCATGTCAGGTCCTCTGGGTGTTCATCTGCTCAGACATTTATTTAAAAGAAAAAATAGCTTCGTAAAATGAGGCGGCTTTTCCTCTTAAAGAGGAGCAGCCACTGAGGGGCAGAGATGGGCTGTTTCACCACTAAACGCTCCCAGTCTCCTCATCAGGTATGTTGTGCCTTCAAACCTTTCTTTTCTAAACCTACAGCAGATGCACTGACAGTGTTGAGAGATTGAATGGTGCTACTTGATACGTGTGTCGGCCCTTGTACGTCGTGCCCATCGAGTTTTACAAGTTGTTTTATTGCACATCTAGAATTTTATATAGATGTCTTGGATATGTGTCCTTAAGCTTCCAAATATTGTGTGAGGAGTTTGTGGGGTGGGAAACGCAGCTTGTTTACAAAGGGGAAGGGGTTTAAAACCAGGATTTATTTGGGACCAGGGGATTTAGCAGTTGGGGGGGAATTTAGCCATTTGCACAGATTTCTAGATTCTACTTTTGCTGCTAGTTTTGTGTAATTTATTAAGCATTTTTGACAAATATTTATTTTTGTAAGCCTCAAAGTGATTCTTTGAAAGTTTCAGAAACTTGACCAAAAGACAGTACAAAAAACACTGGCACTTGAATGTTGAATGTCACCTGTGTGAGTGAAATTTATATATTTCAGGATAGTGAGCTTTTTAAATGTTTGATATACGTTGGACTCAGTATATAATATCCACAGCTGTTTCACGGCCTCTTGGGCCCGTCGTCTATTTAAATATACTAATTGGTCTTCAAAATTCAAAGTTGAATTAAATAAACATGCCAAGGTTTGGAGTAAAGCTGTCAAAAGAGCAAATTTCCTAAGCATATCAGTGCAGAAGTGTTCAGATTCTCCAAATGTGTGCATTATTGATTTTGTCTAATTTGATTGATAAATGTTTTTTGTCTTCTCTAGTTAATGTCTGGCACATGGCAATCCTTAAAGAAACGTGTGGTTTATTCTTGTTGTATTTGCAAATGTCTCTCGTGTTCTCTTGAGTCTGGAGCAGGTCTTCAGCATTAATTTCTCAAAACAGCTGACGGTGCTGCTTGGGGAAAGAAAAGCCGGCTCTGCACATAACTTTGTAAGCAGAACCGGAGACTTGTTCCCCGATCTTTGGAGAACGCTTGAGCTCTTTAGATGTAGACTTTGCTTTTCTGTATTAGCCTCTAGGCTGCAGCACTGCATGGGAAGTGTTTGGCCGTTCAAATTGTATGATTTTACCAAAATAAAATGTTTCGGTGCAAAAGTATGTGGGGGAAGATCAAGCATGTTTTCTGAAGACTTGTTTACGGTAAAATGCAGAAACCATCTTGTAGCGAGCAGCCTCCTGTACATGGAAGGCAGACGGTGACGAATTACATTTATCAATTGGATGAGCTTCAGTTCTTCTGAAGAAAATGATGCATAAAGTTTTCATTTGTACATAAAAACTTTTTTTTTTTTTTGGTACTTTTAGGAAATCGTCAAACTGGATTCAGACCAAACTTAAAATAATTAATTTAACAAGCATTTTGTAAAGCTTCAATTTTAACCTTTATTTATGCACAGCTTCTGTGTTGATCAAAACTAACTTCTGGTAAATCAACGCTGCTTCAAAAGCAGCTCCATTTTAGGAAAACTTTCAGGAATTAAATGCAGGAAAGACCATACTCTTGCACTTGTGTTAATTTGTGTACATTTGAAAAAGGAATAGTTAAATATTAAAATTGTTATCACGGGTTTTTGAGTTTGGCGCGGGGGGGGCGCACTAGCACTGGCAACCAGCAACACAGAATCTTGGGACCCCCCTACATTTTGAGCAGGTGTTTAGCTACGAGCTTTAAAAAGTAATTGTTTTGTGCATTGAGTTGAAACACGTGAAATGTTTCCTTTAAGGAATAATTCTACAAAAGTTGAAGTAAAATAAAATGTTCCTCTAACTGAACCATAGTTTTATTTTTTGCTTTTTCGGTTTCTGGATTGTAGTGGAAAGTCGGCAACCTTTACTTTCTAGAGCCATTTCTACCACAGCTGTGAAATGTGCAGCCTTCAAGAATATAATTTAACTTATGAGGTGGTTTCCTGATGCTGCACTTAAAAAGCTTATTTTTGAAATAAGCTACAATGTTTAAAATGCTAAATGTAAACTTTAAAATGGCATTTCCAGTTAAAGGTTAAGATGAAATACTGAACTGAAACTATAAATTTGAAAAGGTGAAAATTTGCCCATCAGTATTTGAAATGTTGCCCAAAAGCTGAAGAAACTGACCTGAAGACAGTTTGAGGGCTTGAAGGAAAATGACCAGGCTTGCTAAAGGCTTAAAGTAGCAAAATGCTGGCAGGATTATAAAAAATGCTACACCTAAGGTACAAATAGCAAATCACTAACATATCGCAGAAAAATCCTAATTGGCAAAAGATAGCAAAAAGTAGGAAAACTGATGTTTAACGAGAAGTAGCAAAATGCAGGAAGATTTTAGCCAAGAGCAAGGAGCTGTGAGACATTAAATCTAGGAAAGGCTTGGGGCCCGAAGTAATGAATGCGAGCAATAAACAGGAAAACTAGTACTGGGGCAGGACTAGTGAAATACAGGAAAGTCTTGGAGCCAGAAATGGCAAATGGCTAGTGAATATAAAAAATAGCTGGTGTAGAAGTAGTGAGACACAAGCCAAGAGCTAGCTAGCAGCCAGAGGTAGTGAGACAAGCTAAAAGCTAGCTAGCTAGCAGCCAGAAGTGGTGAGACAAATGTCTGGGCCTTGCTGCAACCTGACTTGATATAGAGGGATGGATGTGGGTGGGAGTTGACCTTTACTTTTACCCCTGCTAACCCAATCTTTGACCCGTAACGTGTCCAGCTCTGAAATTTGACATTTCTGTGATGGTTGCAGAGCAACAGCTCGGACGAAAAACTGCCCCATACAGTAAGTACATTAGATTTGATGGTTTTCTTGAGTTTTTATTTAGCCTTCAGTGTTGTGGATCATCATTTTTAGATCATGTCTGAAATTGAGTGAGTGATCTGAATTTAAAAGAAACTGAAAGGAACACAAAAAACCTGAAATTATAAAGTTAAATGGCAAAAAGCTGAAAGATCAAAGAAAAGCCTAAAATGGCAGATAAAAGCCGAACACCAGATGCCCGAGTTAGAAGAAAGAAATGTAAAAGGACACAAAACAAACTAGCAAATTTGCTCTTTTCAGCAAATGTGGCTGAAAAAAGCAGAGGAACAAGCAAAACAGTTAAAATGGGCAGAATAAAGCTAAAAAGAGCACAATTGGCTGAAAATGACCCCAAAAAAGCTTAAATGAGCAGAATACTTCTGAGGAAGCAGATAAAATGTTGAAATTACAAAAAGGCACTTAAAAATATGAAGGCACAAAATAGTGAGAATGAAACTGAGAGGAGCTAAAGGAAGTTGAAATGAGCACATCAAGCTGAAAAAACCTGAACCAGAATTGAAGCTAAAATGAGCAGCAACAGGTTGTAAACGGCACAAAGGGTTTGAAGGATGTGAAGAAAAAACCTCCATTTAAAATATGAAAACAGAAAAAGCTAAATACGGAACCAACTTTGTCATTGCACAGTTAAGTACGTTCCGTGCAGCCGTCTCAAGGATAGACGGACATGCACCAGGGCTGCAGCTTCTATGAAGCACTGCCCTTATCGCTTAGATAAGAAAAGGGGAAGAAAATGAGCAGAGAAGGTAATAAAAAGATCTCTCTCACCATGTCCTTGGACACCGGGCATGTAAGGTAGCAAAAAAATCTACCTCCGCAAAAGCAACATCAGAGAATACATTTTGCTGGGGAATGATAAGACGGTGAGATTGTCCATGTACCCTTCCAGATAGTTTCATAGTCCTAATAAAAGATGTTACAGTGTCTATCAGTCGGTAACTCTGGTCCACAGGTGTTTTTTTTGGGGGGGGCAGAGCACAGCCTCTTGTTTTACGTATCCACCAGGAGCAATTTGAGATAAGTTGGTCTATCAAAGGCCAAGCCAGATTCAGATAAACACTACTGATTTCATGTCTGCCTTCAGTTCTGCTGGTACACTCAATGACAAATCCAAACAGCCAGGTTTGTGGAAATTTCACTGGTCTGTACTCGTTAGCCTTCTCCAAGGTCAGTTCCTTCATGCCGGCAAGTTCTAGGAGCTGCAAGTGGCCCACGATTCTCAGAAATCATGTCCATCTTATGGTTCAGTTCGCTAAGCATACGAGTCTGAGCGCTCGAAGCACAGTTCAATCCTTCACACAAGGCAAGCAGCCTGTCAGAACTGCTGGCGACATCTTAATTTGTCAAAAAGTCCACTGATTCCAAAAAGCAGAAACCCTGTTATCATAAATCCAATTATATACATGTTGTCTACGTCCTTAATGGACAATACAGACAGGCACATCATCTTTCACACACCCCAGGAATCCATGACATATCCAGCTGTGTGTGTCCCTTCAGGGCATGAGGGCTCTCCTTCACCCTGTCTCCTCGTCGAGAAAATTTTATCAATTGCATTAAAGCTGA